GTTAATGGAACTGTTGGGTTCAGTGACGGAACTAGGAATTTTTTTAAGGGAGGAGCCATTGAAGATTAAATAAAATTGAAAACAAATATTTTTAAAATAAAATAATAAATATAAGAATTTTAAAAAGTTAGTGTGGGAAAAATGTGACAGAGAGTATTTTAAAAAAATTGAGTGGGGGTATTTTTAAAATTTTATTTGAAACTATATTTAATAATATAAATTGTAAAAAATTGAGTGGGGGCATTTTTGTAATTTTAGTTAATATTTAGGTAATAATGTAAATTGGGAAAAATCTAGTGGGGGTATTTTTTCAATTTTAGTTGAAACTATAGGTAATGATGTATATTGGAAAAACCTAGTAGGGCTTTTTTTTTTTTTTTTTTTTTTTTTTAATTAAAATTATAGGTAATAATGTAAATTAGAAAAAATCCAGTGGGGGCATCCGCCCCCATTGGGATTGAATTGGGTCCATGGTTGGGTTAAACTATTTTTTCCATAAAATGAAAAAAATATATTGACATTAATAATAAGGTACGAAATATATGCCTTCGATACAAAGCAAAAGCAAAATCAAGACAAAATAGAGCGAAACAAATCCAGGCCTACTTGGTTTATAATTATGAAAATATTTTTTTATTATCAGAAAATAAAAAATTGTACAAAAAAATAACTCTGTTTTGATCTGTTTTTTGAAACTTAGTTATAAAAATGTGTTATTTAAGAATAATTTTCTGTTTTTTAAGTTTTTGAGAACTGTTTTTAGAATTATAAATCAAGGAGGTCTTTAACATCTCTAAACAAAATAAACACAAACTGAAAATAACATCAAAGTAACACTAAACATATAGAAAAGTTAAATACAAAAAATAAATAAATAGATAAATAAATCTCTATGGAGTCATGAACTCTGGCAAATTTGTCCGAATAGTTAAACCCGATCTGGGGTCAACAAAATGACAATATAAACCAAGTTTATGATTTTAGCTCAATAACTTTGACAAGGTTTCAAACTTGTGTCTGAGTACACGTATATTTTTTCTTTCAAATTCTAAGATGCTATGTAGTTGTGTTGAACACTATTTTGTTATCTTACAAATTTTTGTCTATTGTCACTATATATGAAATTTCAAAATAGTTATATTTATGTTTTTTAGAATGAAATATTAGATTCAAAGAAGACGAAGAAGTGAGAGAAAAATATCCTGAAGAAACGAAAGATGTTCAACTTTTCTTTTATTTATTTGAGTAAGATGAGGAGAAATAAATAATATTGTTATTTATCATGGCATCCTTAACCATATAAGTTAATACACTTAAAAAGGATAATAATATATTTTCAATTTTATTCAACAAATATCATTCCATCTCTATTTTCTTCTCTCAAAATTTATTTGGAAGAAAAATGTTAGATGACATCCTCCCCTTTCTTTTTCTTTTTCATTAACAAAGCTTCTGTCAGAACCTTTCCAAATTTTTTTTTTTATTTTTTATTTACTCACAGTAATAAGTAGATTAAGGGCGACATTCCAACGCACACCTCCACGTTTACATTCAAGACACACATGGCATCTCATACACGTGTCACAACTTCGTTTACATTAAGGGCACACATAGCATTACATACACACGAGTTACATTGTGTATTTTAATCTTTATTTTCTTTTCACACTTTTCACAAAACTATATATAGTCACATTAGTGAAAAAAAATCCTAATTTATAAATAATACCTTGAAGTATATTTTGTGCATGATACTTTTTGAATTATCACATTTTATTATATAATGTCTTAATGTCTAAACTATTTTTCATTAAATGATTACCTTTATTATTGAATTTTATTTAATCTATTTTTCTTATTAGAATAAATTATGAAAAAAAAAAATCATACTAATTTGATAACATATTCTCCATTAAATTTGTTTATATTTACTTTTAATTTTTTAGTTTAAATACAAATTTTAAGTAGAAAATTTTAAAATAATTTAAGTAATTTCTTAAATTTTAAAGAATATATTGTATTTCTTTTCCTAGTCGGGACTCACACACACTGTGTTGTATTAAAATGAAGGTATTTTTTATTTTAGTAATTTATTAATTTTTCATGAATATATTGTATGAAAAATAAAGTATTTTTTAACGAAAAAAAGTTTAAACTAGAATATTAAGTTTTATTATATATAGTTAAATTTTAATAATAAGTTAATCATTTAGAGAATGGTAGTTACAAATATTATTATTTTTTTCATTCTTATGATAAGTTGACACTAATAATAAAATTAAGGTAAATGGTATATATAATATTTAAATAAATAAATAATAAAAATAATTTAATAAGAAATGACAAATTTTAATGAGAAAGGGTAAAATAGTATTTTGTGATGAATTTATCCTTAATTGCATTAAATGAATAGTTTGGGTGAGCAATTTATAATTCAAAGGGATTATTTACAGAAGAGCAATAATCCAAAGGAGTGTTTTTTTTTTTATATTTTATTTATTTATTTTTTCTTTACCCTAGTATTTATTTTACAATTTTTTTTTGCACTCTATTAACGACTAAATTTTTTCACTTTATTTTATTTTTAGGGTAAAGCACCCTCAAATCCCTCAGATTTACAACTTTCATACTCTAATTAAATTATCAAGTGAGCCTATATATGACAAGTTTCGCTAATTTGAGAAGAGGCACAATCCACTTGTGTGGCGATGATTAAGTAGACACTGCATGGTGTGCATATGATATAAGTGAAAAGTTAGATTATTGAGACAAACAAAGAATTATATAATAATGAGATTTGTAGGTATTTGACAACAGAAAGTGGTACATGGATATACAGAAAGTGGTATTTATATACCTAAAAATAGTGTCTCTGTAAAAGTAAAAGTAAACAGTTTTTTTTCATATATTTATTTATTTTTTAAGTTATGAAACTTTAACTCTATTAAATAATAAATATACGTCATTAACACTATTTATATATAATAATCCCATATATATAAATATGTGTGTGGAGAGCATACAAGTAGAGAGTTTCATTTGTAACTATCATGGTAAAAGTAATCAGCGAGTGTGGTTTCCAAGCTGGGTACTGGAGGTTGTAGAGATGGTTAGGCATTATGTTTCTAAGTAACTTGCGTTTGTGTTTTACCACGTTGCTGTTTGTTTCTTCTTGCTTTGTGTTTTACTTGTTTGTTTCTTGTTTGCTTAATTTGACGACGAAAAAAAATAAAAACCTTCACCAGCATTATGTATTTTATTTTATCTTTTTATTTCCATCCACAGTCTGGCATTTGAGAATTTTCGGATATATTACAACTCAAATTCTTAATTTGTTTGGTAAGTTTCGCGTCTAGTTGTAGGCCAACTCAAATTCTTAATGGACATGGTAAGCCCGCACATCTTGAATGTTTCACTAAAGTTAGCGCCAAAACTTCTAAAGTTAGCGCCAAAAATTGTGTTTTGTGAAAATATTTCTACCTAGTTTTTAATCAACACTCTTATTCCAGATTCGAGACACGATTTTGGATAATACCAAACTCACAACCTTATGAGATTCTTATTGCAAACTCCTCCCGCACAGTCGGACTTCTCAAAATCTTTAATGCACGTATCAAATATTTTTCTAAAATGACATAGTTGGTACACTCCTCGGCAGCTGCCCAAGTAATGTGCTTGTAAAATATTAGTACTTTAGGAATATTATCTATTGACATAATCAGCAACCCGAGCCGGTAGACCCGTGTTTGAGTCTCTATTCTGTTTTTTTTTTTTTTTTTGTTGTCAATAAGAAAATCAATTAACAAAATGAAACCAGAAAGAAAAACATCAGTCTTTTTCACCCAAACCAGCACAAAATTACTTGAAAAATATTATTTTCATTTTGAAACAATTTTATTATTTCTCTCAAATTTCATGCAACATAAAAAATATAGATCAGCATGATTCAAAAATATATTTTTGATATGTATGGCAACATAGATCAAGATTAATTATACAAAAATTTCTTAACATAAAGGTCAAAATAATCACCATGATTCAAAAATATGTCTTCATCGAACATAGATCAAGATCAATTCTACAGAATTTTCTTAACTTGTGGCCCAAAATATTTTGCAATATAAATATTAATTTGATAACAAATAATTAGATTTGAAATGCATAAATTTATTTCGAAACCCAAATTTATTACCTTTGCTTATCCAAACTATAAAAAATTCCAAATTTACACATAAAATAAATTGTAACAATACTGAAGTCTAGAGAGATACTTTATAATCTTCCCCCAATGTGTGAGTCCTCGTGAGTCATAACACAAATAGTACGGCCATTTAAACCTATTATGTAAGTTTGCAAATTTAGTTTTTGTTCAATGGGACAGAAGGAAGAGGTGAGGAAAGAAAATAAAAAGGAAGGAATAAATTTTCTTTGTTTGACAGAGATAATACTAAGAAAAAAAGGATGATAGGAGAGATATGTCATTTATTTTTTTTTACAAAATTTTATCCTTCCAAAAGTAGACCAATGAGAGGAGGAAGAAAAGTGGACTCTTATAGAATTTTTAAATTAAATACTTTCTTAAATTACACAAGTTTTAAATTATAATATTATCCTCTATAAATTATAATATTATAGATATTATTAGACATAACAGTAAAAACAATTTAAAATTTTATGTTTCCTTCTCTCATAACTAATATTTTTATCTAACGGAACAAAAAGAAACAAAAGATACAATCTCTTGCCAAATCTCTACCGGGATCCATCTCCTCCATCCAAATTTTTTTTCCCCCAAGAGTGTCTCTCATCCTTCATCTGCACAATATGGATTCGGCTTGGAAAATTGCCTTATAATTATTTAAAGAAAAAAAGAAAAAAAAACGAAAAGAAAAGTCGGCTACTTAAACCGTATATCAAAAAGAAAAATACAGTTTCACATACGGTCCCTTGTGTTTTTGTTTTTGTTATTTTTTGTGTTCTCACTTTCGTTAATAAATACGGAAAGGGGCAAAGAACGGAAAAATGAGAAATGAACACGAAGGTTTCGTCTTGCAGACCAAGAACAACTAAGAACGATATATAGAGAGAACATACATAATATACCATATACACATACACACACATATATATAGAGAGAGTTTATCAGAGAGATTCGTCTCCGGTTATTCTTTCTCACGGTGTTCATCGATCTGCGTGCTTCTTCGAGTCCATCTCTTACGTTGTTCGATCCGAAAGCTCTCAAGATTCGCTTGTCGATCCATCGACTCAGCTCTTTGGTTTCGTCGTAAGTTATCTTCCATCTCTTTCTCGTTGGATTCATGCACTAGGGTTTCAATTTCAACGCCTTTTTCTTTTATGATTTTTTCAATTCAAGGTTTAGAGCTTATGCGTGCGTGTTTGTTTTTGAAACCCTACATTGTTAAGGTGACGAATTAGTGTATAATTGGTTTCTTCTTATGTGTTTTTGGTTCATATTAGCGCGTCGGGCTGCTGTGAAGATTGATAGCGCTGAAGGAATTGCAGTATGAGCATCGATAGCCCCGGTGAAGGGGAGAATTAGGGTTCGCTTGGTTTTTCGGGCACTGATTGGACTTCCATGGGCGATGGCGGCATTGCATGTGTGTCTTTACAGCCTATTATGGAACGCTTTTCGATTTCCGAGACTTTTTGCGGAGGCAACAATGGTAAGTTCACTTCTAAGGCGCTCAAGTTTGCAGAGCGAAAGATGAAGATGAAGGTGAAAAGAGAGGAGCTTGTGAAGAAAACAGAGTTAGGAAAGAGCGAATTGGGTTCTGAAAGAGGGAAAAATAGTAGTAGAAAAGTTGACAATGGTGAAGTATTTGTAGATAAGGAGCAGAAAGAGGAAGTAGAAGAAGGTGAATTGGGTTCATTGAAGTGGCCAAAAGGGGAGGTGGAGAATGGGGAGTTCATTCCTGAAAAGCCACAAAAATTCAAAATTAAGAGCGAAATTGAGAAGGGAGAATTTGTAGTTGAGAACTGGAGGAAAGGGGAAGTAGAGAAGGGGGAATTTCTTCATGGGAAGTGGCGAAAAGGGGATGTAGATAGAGGGGACTTCAGTTCTGGGAGGTCTCGGGGTGATGATGTTCCAGAGAAGTTTAGAAGACGGGAGCCAGAAAGGGAGGAAATTGGCTCGTGGAGAGGCTCCAAAGATGACGTGGAGAAAGGAGAGTTTATTCCAGAAAGATGGCATAAAAGTGAAATGGTGAAGGATGAGTATAGGTACGCAAAGATGCGCCGTGATGATTCAGCTAAGGACAAGGGTTGGAAATGTGATCGCGAGTGGACACCGCCTTCTGCGAAATATTCAGCTGAAAAAGAATTGAATAGAAGCGGGAGTCAGCATGTGAAAAGGTCTTCCAGGTGGGAAACTGGCCAAGAGAGAAACCCAAGGATAAGTTCAAAAATTGTAGAAGAAGAAGGTTCCCTGAAGATTGAACACAGCAATGGTAGAAATCATGGGAGAGAATACTCATCTGGAAACCGATTGAAGCGGCATTGTAATGACTCGGATAGCAGTGAGTGGAAACACCATGGAGAGTACAGTGATTATACAAGCATAAAAAGCATTAGGATTTCTGATGGGGGCAATCGTTCTGCATGCGCAGAGCAGTATTCACGATGTTCTGTTGAGAGGTCATATAAAAATTCTTCTTCATCCAGGAATATTTCCTCTGACAAGTACTCTTCTAGGCATTATGAATCTTCTTCCTCTTCCAGAATAGTTTATGACAAGCATGGTAGGAGCCCACGCCATCCTGAACGGTCCCCACGTGACCGGGCCCGCTATCTTGATTACCGGGATCGTAGTCCAATCGGCCGTGAAAGGTCACCATATGAACGGGCTCATCACTATGATCGTAGAAACCGGAGCCCTAGTAATTCAGGACGGTCCCCACAAGATCGAGTACGATACCTTGATCGTAGGGAGCGGACTCCAAACTTATTGGACCGGTCCCCACATGATCGGAGTAGGCCCAATAATTACCGGGAAGCAAGTCGAAGAACTGGAGCAAGCGAAATGCGATACTCTCATTATGCGAATAAAGGAAAAGAAGAGAAGCTCAATCAGAAGGATCCTTTTGGAAGAGATTCACATTTCTCAGCTAAAGAATCTCAGGATAGAAGTAATTTGCATAATGATGACGGTTCCACTGAGAAAACTGCCAACCCGCTGTCTCAAGAGCAAGAGCAGACTCAGAGTCCAAGTGTGACTTGTAAAGAATCTCCTCAGGTTAATGGAACTATTGAAGAGCTTCCTTCTATGGAAGAAGACATGGATATATGTGACACACCGCCACATGTCCCAATTGTGGCAGATACAACAACTGGGAAATGGTTCTACCTTGATCATTTTGGTGTGGAACGTGGGCCTTCCAAATTGTGTGACCTTAAGAAACTTGTGGAAGAAGGCTTTATTGTGTCTGATCATTTGATTAAACACTTAGACAGTGACAGGTGGGTAGCTGTTGAAAATGCGGTTTCCCCTATGGTGGCAATGAATTTTCCGTCCATTGCATCAGACATTGTTACTCAGCTCGTAAACCCTCCTGAGGCCCCTGGTAATGTATTGGCAGATGTTGGAGATGCTGTGCAGTCTTGTAATCAGCTAGCTGATGACACACCAGCCAGTTTGCCGGAGGCAATGTTCTGCCCTGATGACAGTTTAGTTGCATCAGAGAATTTAGAAGATCTCCATATTGATGAAAGAGTTGGAGCATTTTTGGAGGGTGTCACTGTTGTTCCTGGCAGGGAACTAGAGACAGTAGGGGGTAACTATTTGTTCTTTTAGCTTTCTTCTGCTTTTCCTTAAATTTTGTGTATTGTTCAATTAGTTCATTAGATGTTCCTCATCTTTTAGTAGATAGCTTATTATGTTTTTCCTGCCTCTTGAATTCGATTGTTCTGCAGAAGTTCTGCGTATGACGTTTGAGCATGAAGAGTGGGAGAGATGGGGAAACTTCGAAGGTAGTCTTTTTCTTTTCTTTTCTTCAATTTTTTTTTTTCCTTTATTTTTTAAGCTTCTTTGTGGTAACATCTCTCTTTGAAGGAGGTGCCACATATTGGTGACCTGGCACTATTTTGCTTTTAGCATACAATTTATGTGATATTATCAGCACAAAATGAAAGAAGAACCAATATAGCATCAAGCACACACACAAAAGATATAATGACATCTTGTTTTTGACAACCCTGCTGTTAACATAATTAATTTCGAAATTATAAACCTTATATCATAGAATATGAAATCCGATTAAAACATTTTATTACTGTTCAGCATTGTTGAACTTATTCTTATAGATTTACAGTTAAATCTTTATTTATTTATTTTTGTTATAAGTTTATGTATAAGATATGTCCTGACGCATGCATGTTATTATACCTCATGACAAAGAATTTATTTTGGATGCACCAGATTTCACTTGGCATCGATCTTGCACTGGGGAACAGTATGACCAAGGAACAGTTGAGGGCTTGCTGAGGTGCACTGAACTTGCCTTAAAAGAAGTTACAGAATCAAGGTCAAGCGCAGCTTTTGACAAGGAAAATGCTTTTGCATGTGACGACACCGGCGACTGGTTCTCTGGCCGACTGTCATGCAAGGGTGGGGATTGGAAGAGAAATGATGAAGCTGCCCAAGATAGATCCTGGAAAAAGAAATTTGTCCTCAATGATGGATACCCACTGTGTCAGATGCCAAAGTCTGGTTATGAGGACCCTCGGTGGCCTAGAAAAGATGAACTGTATTATCCTTCTCAGAGTAGAAGGCTTGATCTTCCACCTTGGGCCTTTTCCTTGCCAGACGAGTGGAATGATTGTAATGGTGTCAGCAGATTGAGTCAAACTAAACCTATTGTGGTAAGGGGAGTGAGAGGAACCATGCTCCCAGTGGTCAGGATAAATTCGTGTGTTGTCAAGGACCATGGATCATTTGTCTCTGAATCCCGCACGAAAATCAGAGGAAAAGAAAGATATTCTTCAAGGTCCACTCGGGCACACTCTGCAACTGGTGATGTGAAGAGATCATTGGAAGAAGGCGTTTCTCGTCCTAATGTCATTCAGGACCAAGACTCACAAGGCTCTTGGAACAGTATCACATCTATTGGTGCCCCAAAAGACCGTCTTTGCACAGCAGGTGACTTACAATTACACTTGGGTGACTGGTATTACCTTGATGGTGCTGGGCATGAACGAGGGCCTGCGTCATTTTCAGAGCTGCAAGTTTTGGTAGATCAAGGAATCATCCAGAAGAATAGCAGTGCTTTCAGAAAAATTGATAAAGTTTGGGTTCCGGTTACCTCTGCAGCAGAGGCTTCAGAGACTGCTCACAGTATCAAACACGAGACAAATGCAACATCCAGTGATAGTTCTGGAGCTTCTCTTTTAAATTCACAGAGTGCTGTGTTTAATAGAAGCAGCAAAGCTTTTATTTCATTCCATAGCTTGCATCCACAGTTCGTTGGTTATACTCGAGGGAAGCTTCATGAGTTGGTCATGAAATCATATAAGAGCCGGGAGTTCGCAGCAGCTATAAATGAGGTCTTAGATCCATGGATTACTGCTAAACAGCCAAAAAAGGAGATGGAAAAACACCTGTATAACCCAGCTGTTGGTAATAAATTCCAAAAATCAGGTATGTGTAAATCCTATGGAATTTGCAGAGGACTGATTTTGTGTTAAGCAACTAAAGTATAATTTTTCAGGATGATTTATTAGAGATTCCTTCCACCATTCTTGAAATTATGTGTGTTTATCATATTGCCCCCCTGATGTATCACTAAATACCCTTAACTGACCAAGTAAAATCAACTGAGGCCATAATGTTACAAGTTTTTAACAGCAAACCAATATGATGGATTTGTCCGTGTACTGGAAAAGAGAAAAGGTGTAAAACATAAAATAATGAAAAGACAGGAAAGTTAAAGTAAAATAGTTTCATATGAATTTATTATTTAAGAAAAGGTTGATGTCTACTTTGGACGTTTCAGTTTATAGATCATAACAATGTGTATTGTTTCACCCATAGCCCAAAATCCCCTGGGGGTGGGGGAAGTCTATGATGATGACATTCTGACTGGGTGATCGCACCCATCTAATATATATACATTTATTCATCTTAATCTTTAGGACATTTTGATCAACAAAAAGGGCATTATGATGTCACCATTACATTTTTAAATTGCAAATCGACGCCAACAGTGCCTTTTGACCTCAGATTCAATATGCTGGAGAAGGGTAGTCCGTGTCCCCATTAGCGGATCACCGTTCGAGATTCCCATTGACAAAAAATTAGTATGGTGTGGTTGTATGAAAGAAAGTATACTTCAAAGGGTTTTGTGAATGTATAAACCAACCCCCCCTCCTCCTCTCTTCTTATAACTTCTTAGCTCTAGTTTGAGAACCTTGCAGTGCAGTTCCTGCAAGTCATAATTGTGCATCAATTATTGCATGATTCATCTGGTTGTGAGGGTTTCTCCTGTTTGGAGCCTCTTTTTTTTTTTTTTTTTTTTTTTTTCTTAGATGGTACTCACACACACACATGCCTCCACTGAGGCTTGAACCCCTGACCTCCCTTTGGAAAGTAGGGGCTTGGTACCGCTAGGCCACTGGCCTGTTGGTAGAGCCTTGTTATGTTTAGATCCCAGTTTCCTTATTTTTACTTTTTGCATGGTACTCATCTGAGTTCTTATTTGTGTAAATACTAAAATCACAAGTGATGAATTGTGAATCGACACAGATCAATTTCGTGCTGGCAAAAGAGCAAGGTTGCTGGTTGATGGAAGTGAAGAAGAGTACGAAATGGAGGAAGAAATACCAACTGTTCATAAGGTTGAATGCACGTTTGATGATTTGCTTGGTAATGCTACTTTTAATGAAGAAGAAAATGCCGGTTCTGAAATTGAGACGGGGAGCTGGGGTCTACTCAATGGTTGTGTGCTGGCACGAGTCTTCCATATCCTTAGTGCTGATGTGAAATCTCTTGTTATTGCTGCTTTAACTTGTAAGCACTGGAGATCTGTTGTCAAATTCTACAAGGACATCTCCAGACAGGTTGACTTGTCAGCAGTTACCACTTATTGCACCGATTTCACAATCCGTGATATCATGGTAGATTTTCCTGTCTTGGTGGTGAGGGTAACATACAGAAAGTTTTTATTCTTTTCAGGTTTAATGTATATTTTTTTGCTTGCAGAGTGGTTACAACAAAGAAAAGATTACTTCCTTTGTTCTACTTGGTTGCACCAATGTTAGTTCCAGCATTCTTGAAGAAATTCTCCACTCGTTCACTTGCTTATCATACATAGATATCAGAGGTTGCAACCAATTCGAGGAGTTGGTAAATAGATTTCCAAATATTAATTGGATCAAGTCCCGGGGTTCACATTCAAAAATAAAGAGTCTTAAACACATAAATGAGAAAAGTTCATCAGTCTTTAGAACTCATAACGGTCTGGATTCTCCAATGGAAGATTCCAGTGGACTGAGAGATTATTTTGAAAGTTTGGACAGGAGAGACTCGGTAAACCAGTTCTTCCGCCAGAACTTGTACAAGCGTTCAAAACTTTTTGATGCCAGAAGGTCCTCGTCCATCTTTTCTAGGGGTGCCCATTTGAGGCGTTTGGCCATCAAGAAATCCGAAAATGGCTATAAGAGGGTGAAGGAATTTCTTGCTTTGAGTCTGAAGGACATCATGAAGGAGAATACCTTTGATTTCTTTGTGCCCAAGGTAGTACCATGATTTGTTTCATTTGATACGTCTTATGGTATAGTCTCCTTAGAGCTGATATTCTTGTTTTCTTCTTGTTGATCAGGTTGCCGAAATTGAGGATAGGATGAAGAATGGTTATTATGCTGGCCACGGCTTGAGTTCCGTCAAGGACGATATAAGTCGAATGTGCAGGGATGCAATAAAGTATGCTTTTCTGCCCTTTCTACTTTTGTTTTCTTTTTATGGCTGTGTCTGGGGATATGGCTAGTAATTTTATGAATGACACCAAATGTTTGAAGTATGAAATTTATAGAGCTTTCAATGAGAAGGGATAAACCCTACACTAGTTTCTGATTAAGTTGTGATCTGAGTGCCCTTCGTGACATATTCCAATGATGAACTTAAAGTTGTTAGCAAATTCATTTTAGATTTACTATGTATAAACACCCAGGTTTGAGAATTCTGTAGGGTTCTCATACCTCAGCCTCTTGTGTATGTTTGTGTGTTATTGGATTGTGGACTACTCAATTGAATGGTTTCTTGTTATTTTTTGTGCAAAGTTTAAAAACATTGATTTCTCCACAACGGATGTTTCATGTTACCTTAACTCTTTTTATTTAACTAAACCCTGTAATATGTGGTAGTCAATATTGATTGTCTGTTTCCTTCCCCCACTATATACTGTGGTCCTTATTTCTTAATATCGTGCACGTGATGATGTCTTGCACCTTTTGTGAATGCAGAGTGAAAAATCGTGCTGACGCTAGAGACATGAATCGCATTATTACATTATTTATCCAGCTTGCCACGCGTCTGGAGGGGAGTTCTAAGCCTTCTCATGAGACATATGAGACAATGAAGACTTGGAAAGACGATTCATCTGCAGGATTCTTCTCAGCTACCTCAAAATATAAGAAAATCAATAAAGTGACTGAAAGGAAACACATGTATAGGAGTAATGGAACCTCCTTCGTTAATGGTGGTTCTGATTATGGAGAGTATGCATCTGATCGAGAAATTAAAAGGCGATTATCCAGGCTGAATAAAAAAAGTATGGATTCAGGAAGTGAGACGTCAGATGACCTAGACCGGTCGTCTGAAGAAACAAGGACTGATAGTGAGAGTACTGTCTCAGATACAGAAAGTGACTCTGATTTCCGCTCAGAAGGTGGAACTGGTGTATCAAGAGGAGATGCATACTTCACAGCAGATGATGGGTTTGATTCTCTGACAGATGACCGTGAATGGGGTGCTCGAATGACAAAATCTAGCCTTGTTCCTCCTGTAACTAGGAAATATGAAGTCATTGATCAGTATGTTATTGTAGCAGATGAGGAGGAAGTGCAAAGGAAGATGCAAGTGTCATTACCTGAGGATTATGATGAGAAGCTAAATTCTCAGAAAAGCGGCACTGAGGAGTCTGACATGGAAATTCCAGAAGTTAAGGACTATAAACCTCGAAAACAGCTTGGAGATGAGGTGGTAGAACAAGAAGTTTACGGAATAGATCCGTACACTCATAATCTTTTACTCGATTCCATGCCTGAGGATTGGCCTCTAGTGGATAAGCATTTGTTTATTGAAGATGTCCTCCTCCGTACTTTGAATAAGCATGTCAGGCACTTCACAGGCACTGGAAACACTCCTATGATGCATCTTTTGAAGCCTGTTATAGAAGAAATCCTGGAAACTGCGGAGGAAGACCACGAAACACGAACTGTACAACTATGCCTATGTATCCTGAAGGCAATTGATAGTCGTCCCGAGGACAATTATGTTGCTTATAGAAAGGTATGCGCACACTATTGTTTAATTTTATTAACTTAATACATTATTCTTTCTTTATTTTTTACTTTGACAATTTTGATTCTAATCTTTTTATTTTTATGCGAAATCGTATTGGGATGCGTTCATCAGGGACTTGGTGTTGTTTGCAACAAAGAAGGTGGTTTTGGCGAAGAGGATTTTGTTGTAGAGTTTCTGGGAGAGGTATGGACGCGATAACTTGTCATGGGAATTACTCTTGCTCCAAGTTTTATTTTCTTGATTAGTGTGCCTTCTTAATTTTTTTCTGCAAAGTTATTTAATTTTTGTTGCATAACTAAATGTCTTGCTATTTTGACCTTGATAACATGAGCATGACATTCTTTAGAAATAGCACATATGTCAGCGTAACCCAGAAAATGAAATATTGTAGTAGTTTTTACTAACAAATCGGGAATTTTATGATGTTTGACTTTTATTCATTATTTGGGTATTTAATTATATATAAAATTGTGTATACTTTATTTACATGTGTGTGTGCGCGCTTTTATGCATCTTTGGTGGAGCTTGATCCATGGTATTCTGTGGTGTTATGCAACGAGGATCTATATCTTTGGTCAAGCTTGGTTTGATATGTTTGATAGAAAAAGAAATTATTTTTTTGGAGCAATCAGGGAATGCATGGTAATGGTGTGTATTTGGTGGAGCTTGATCCTTAGTATCTTGTAGTGTTATGCAATGAGGACCTATAGCTTTGGTCAAACTTGTTTTGTTATGTTTGATAGAAAGAAAAAAAATTATAAAGTTTTTGGAGTAATCAGGGAATGCACGGTGATATTAAAACATATACTGATATTACTAAGCAACACCAACTTTTGTCCTATCAAGAATAGTGTCAGGAGATGTTTTGACCTAGAATATATCTTCTCTAAGAACTTTCCACTTTGCAATAGAAAAAAGAATTTTGACAGAGAGAAGGGGGAAAAAAAAAGGAAACCTGGGGAGAAGTTTGGCATAATTGAGGAATTACTCCCTCTAGTTTGCCTTTAATGTTTCCTATGTCAGTATCATTTCCAAACTTGGTAAGTCTTCTTGGATGTGGAGTTCTTGTCCATCATTTTTTTGTGTTAAGATTTTCAGTTTCTTCTGGATACATTTATTTGTTGTCACTGAAAGGTGATTTTGCCGTCTCCTGCTGCCTGCTTAAATTGGTTGTAACTTTTTCTATGTGACAATGAGCACTTTATTAATATCATGCATGTAGTTTGGGAATTCTATGCCTTTTTTTATTTGAAGCTAGTCTAACTGAAATTTTCATATATTTAACCTTACCATGAACAAGAGATTAAGTTATGGCAATTTAATTCAATCTGTGATGAAATCATTTTCATCTTTTATATCATATTTTTATTAAAAAATCTAGATTGGATTGCATCAACTTATCGTGCTGCTGGTCTGCTTGCTTTAGAGGAGAATTATCTTTTATGATGCTGTAACTTCTCTTGAAGTTGTTTTTTTTCCTCCTCTTCTGATTACTACAGGTTTATCCTGCCTGGAAATGGTTTGAGAAACAAGATGGGATTCGTTCCATGCAAAAAAACAATAAAGATCCTGCACCGGAGTTCTACAACATATATCTTGAGAGGCCAAAGGTGCCCTTTGCTCAAACTAAGTTTATATCATATGGTTGTGATGTCCATTTGTTTCTCCTTAATTCTTAAACATTTTCACCTGATCATGTGGTTGTCCGGCAGGGTGATGCTGATGGGTATGATTTGGTGGTTGTTGATGCAATGCACAAGGCAAACTATGCAAGTCGAATTTGTCACTCATGTCGACCTAATTGTGAAGCAAAGTAAGTTTTTTACTTCTCGTAATTATTTATACTGGTGTTTTTTTTATTTTTTTTTATTTTTTCCCTGTGAGGAAGCAATTGATGTGTGTTTCTCCATGAATATATATAGAAATTGGTTGTTACAGACATTAGAAAGTTTTCTTAAGAGAGTTCAAATATAGTCTTGAGAATAAAATATTCCACTTGGCATATCATCGGACTTCATTTATGTATTTATTTTTGTTCAACCAAACTTGAATTTATGATTTTCATTGCTTTATATGTTGATATTGTTAAATGAAATTAATCCATCTCCTTTTTAAGTATGATTCTAAAACTATCATGTCAGGATAATCTAAATGGTAGAAATTTTGATCTTCTTAAGGTTCCAATTCTGGTTCGTGTTGATTTCAGTTATGTGGCTTCAGGCTTTTGAGTTCTGATTTGAAATACTATGGAAAAGAAAAGAAAAATTAAGTGTGCAATATCTAAGATAATATTTTCCTTGTTGATTTAACTCTTGTTTATAGTTTGAATCGTTTTGATGGGAATGACTAGAGAATATGCATAACTGAATTGAGGATGCTAAGATGAGCTAGTGGCACCAGTAGTAGTGAATATCAAGTGATGCTTCATAATAAGTTGGAGGTGGCACCAAATAAATACGAGTTACCTATAGGAAGACGAACTATTGTATCGGTCAGAGTAATTTCAATTGAGCTGAAGGTGTCAAAATGACTGAAGGATGGCTAAAAGAACATTGTGTCTGATCAAAGTATTATTTCCAGGGATTTAACAGATGTGGCTTTAATAGAGCTAAATGTCAGGGAAGTATTCATGTACGATTAATACTTGGGGAATAAAATGTAATACTAAAAAGATTTCTCATCTTATGTAACAGATTTTGTTGAAGTCATTGAAAATGAATCTCTCTCCATGAGATAATTGTTGTTTGATTGAGTTACATCATCAGCTTCTGCTTAGTTGCAGTTATTTTTGTAGCAACACATTTTTGTCATGCTAATACCGTATTTCCCCACCTTTCATGAAAGCAGAGTTACTGCTGTTGATGGCAAGTACCAGATTGGAATCTATACTGTGCGCCCGATTGGATATGGTGAAGAGGTTACCTTTGATTATAATTCCGTTACGGAGGTGCGCATCTTCAGCCTGTCAAGCCTCCTTTATGACTTAGGAAAATTTATTAATCTTTAATAGTTATTATTAATATAATAATTAGTCTTGATGTTGATGTCTCCCAACTATGCTGCAGAGTAAGGAAGAATACGAAGCTTCTGTTTGTTTGTGTGGCAGCCAAGTTTGCCGTGGGAGCTATTTGAATCTGACTGGTGAAGGTGCTTTCCAGAAGGTACAGACTGGAATGCAATTTTTGTTTATCTTTTTAAAAATCCAATGAAAAAAATTGAACCAGTTTCTCAGCTGCTGATACCTACACTGTGCCCCCATCCATTCCTCTCCAATCTTAACACCCCCCTCACCCCCAACCCAAAAAGGAGGAAGAAAGGACTCTGAAAGTTTTGGGCTGTCTAGGAAGTTTGGGCCTGACATGCCTGGTATATCAGCCCCGCCTGATTAGTATTCTGCCTGGTCTGATAATAAAATTTTAATGTTTTTTTGGTGGGGTCATTACATCAAAAGGCAATTGATTTTGAATTGTCTTTCTTTTCCTTGAATTTCAAGTCACTACATTATATGTTACCTGGACTATATTGTCTTCTAGGTACTGAAGGATCGCCATGGGATACTGGATCGACATCACTTGATGCTAGAGGCTTGTGAATTGAATTCAGTTTTGGAAGAAGATTATATTGATTTGGGCAAGGCTGGTCTTGGACGTTGTTTGCTAGGGGGGTTACCTGATTGGCTAATTGCGTACTCTGCGCGTCTGGTATGTTTCTTTGCTGTGTTCACACTTCACTTATGGGATTAAACTTTTTAGGATTGTTTCCTGACTTGAATTTGGATGAAGGTGAGGTTCATCAATTTTGAAAGAACTAAACTTCCTGAGGAGATTTTAAAGCATAATTTGGAAGAAAAGAGAAAATTCTTTGCAGATATATGCCTGGAGGTTGAGAAAAGTGATGCTGAGGTCCAGGTGAATATTGTTGACTGCAACCTAGCCCTTCTCACTCTCTCTCTCTCTCTCTCTCTCACACACACACACACACACACACACACAGCATGTTGTGTCAGCATGGGCTTATTTGTGTAGGTATGGTTGCAGTTACATTTCGGGTACTCAATGCTTTTTCTTTTTTCATGAGACAGGCTGAGGGTGTCTACAACCAAAGACTTCAGAATTTGGCTCTTACCCTTGACAAGGTAGCTACGGATCTTGTTTTGTGAAGGAATTTTTTATCTGTCATTTATTTTCTTAAGGAAGTGTTTATGCTACTTTATAATATCCTCAATCTCAATGTGGCTTAACTAAGCATAATAAAGGTGCATGCAACACAATTTATCTAGGATGAGGCTTTCTGTAGAAATTCCCTGAATCAGAAAGTTCCTTACCAAGGTAGAATAAATTTAGAGGATTTGGGATGACTCGAGTCTGCATTCTAATACAAAGATTTTTTATTTATTTTTGCACAATATGATATTGTTGTGAAGTATTGGTACTCAGGTTCCTGACTTCTACCATAAGAGAACAGCAGTATTTGTTGCTCAATATTACTGACTTTTGAATGCTTTTTACAGGTAAGATATGTTATGAGATGTGTGTTTGGTGACCCAAAGAAAGCTCCACCTCCATTGGAGAGGCTTAGTCCTGAAGCAGCAGTCTCCTTTCTCTGGAAAGGAGAGGGATCGCTTGTTGAGGACCTTCTTCAGTGCATGGCTCCTCATATGGAAGATAGCATGCTAAACGACCTCAAGTCCAAGATTCATGCTCATGATCCATCTGGTTCTGATGATATCCTAAAAAAGCTTCGGGAATCTTTAATATGGTCAGTATCATTGAACCCTCTTGTTCATTAGCTGCATGTCAACCAGGTAGAACATGCTATTATGACACAAATTGTTCTTTCTTGTTTCAGGTTGAGAGATGAGGTCCGGAATCTTCAGTGTACATATAAGAGTCGGCATGATGCCGCTGCTGACTTGATTCACATTTATGCTCACACAAAGTGCTTCTATAGAGTGCGGGTGAGTTACTGTTCTCATTCTAACTTACTAAAATTAAGAGGAAATCAGTTGTGAGGTTGTGTTACCCTTATTTTGCGTTAATTTTATTTTTTACATTCAGGAATACGAGAGGGTAACTTCATCACCTGTCTACATCAGTCCACTCGACCTGGGCCCCAAGTATACCGATAATATGGGGTCAGGTTTCCAGGAGTATTGCAAGACATATGGTGAAAATTATTGTCTAGGGCAGCTGATTTATTGGCATAACCAGGCAAATGCTGAGCCGGATTGTAGCCTATCTAGAGCAAGCAGGGGTTGCTTGTCATTGCCCGATATTGGTTCCTTCTATGCCAAGGTCCAAAAACCATCACGGCAGCGTGTTTATGGGCCTAGGACTGTGAAATTTATGCTGGCAAGAATGGTAAGCCCCCCACCCCCTCCCGCGGCACTTTCTAATTGCTTTATTATTTATTTATTCTTTGGGAATTACACTATCAAACTTCATCCTCATCTTACTCCAACTCAAGGTTATCATTTGTAGGCAAGTATCCTTTGGGCATCAAACTTTGCTCTTCTTTAGGAGAAGTTGCGCCTCTATTATTTGTCGAGTTTGAGCATATAGATGATTTCCTCTTCCAAATCCCCTGTTTTGTTCTGTTTACATTTTGTTCTCTCCTGTATAGATATTAGATCCAATGATTCACTTATGTTATTACACGTTAAATTGTACTACAGAAAAGCATAGTGACTTTGATTTCATGACTAGCTTATTATGGTTCAAATAAAAACCTTTTGGGTAAAAATATGTCTTCTCAACTCTCCCAAACCTTACCAAAGGGGCTCTAGCCAATGGTATAACCTCCCCATCCTCAAAGAGGTGGAGAGGGGTTCGAGCCTGGACGTGGCAAAAGTGTGTGTACTTACCTGACCCCTCCCCGAAAAAAACTCTCCCAAACCTTGTATCATAGATATCTTCCTGAATATAGCACACAGGCTCCCTGTAAATGAGATCTTGGATGAGGGTAGGTGGTTGTATTAAAATTGCTTAATATGAACGCAAACTATTTATCATTTTATCTGAACTGAAGAGTCCCCCAAGAAACCCAGCCCATGTAGTAAACGAACAGCCTGAACCCGACTTGCCAGTGATTATATTGATTATTGCAAATTATTTATGAAATCAGAATGCACTTGAAGTAATTGGTGTGACAAACAGTGACATTTTTGTTTAAGGATTGTAAGGGGGGTGAACTTTTTTTGTTCAAATAAGAGATTTTGCTGTTTAAAGTGTCAAGAGAGCTTGTATGGCAGATTTTCTAATTTTTGCACTGTGGAAAAGTTGTTATAGGACGACAATGAAGGCATTAGCAACTGTTTGGTGAGTTTAGGGTTCATTCCATGCTGTTAACTGGAAAATGAAATTGACGGTCTTAGGGTACCTCTGGTGATAGCACATGATCAGATCTCATCAGTACTTAACCACCATTACCTTGTTCTTTCATAATTATCTTGTTGATTGCTTGTATATTTAATCATTGGTTTGCGTATTTGGTATGACATACTTTGCTCCACTCTGTTATTTCATCAGGAGAAGCAGCCCCAGAGACCCTGGCCCAAGGACCGGATATGGTCATTCAAGAGTTCTCCAAAAGTTTTTGGCAGTCCAATGCTAGATGCCGTTTTGCGTGATTCTCCACTGGACAAAGAATTGGTACATTGGTTGAAGCACAGACCTTCTATTTTTCAGGCCATGTGGGATCGGTGAAATTTCTAAAGTTCAGGCTTAGGCTTCTTTAGGCTTCAAGGAAGCAGCTGGGGAATTATTAGCCAACCTGTAATTGTCTCGGAATGATCTCTCAAGTTTAGGTTTAGCTGCCCTCATTTGATGTGGGAGCTTGTGATCATTTCGAAGCAACATTCTTTATGCTGCTTTTCTTCATTCTTGTGTACAGTTTTTGGGTCCTAAATTTTGTAATTTGTAATTCATTATTCGCAGTGGGTCATTGTTCATTTTGGTCTTTCATTTTAAGTTAAAAGGTGGAAGGGGGAAATATATATATATATATATATATATATATATATATATATATATATATATATATATTTGTAGGCATTCGACCCTTTCTTTCTGTTTCCACAATTCTGTTGCATCCTCTTTTTTTTTTTTTTTTCTGTTATTATTATTATTTTTTAATTATCTGCTGTGGGATTCCAAGGAACAACACAATGGTGTGACCCCGCGCCCCGCCCGGCCCGGCCGATTTCTGAATGTCTTTTTTAGTCTTAGGTTTAACTGTCATCCTTTACTATTCAGTCATGTTTACATTCTATGTATTATGTTTTAGTTTTATTAATTCTTAGCCCTTTTGCTTTTAGTCTTTCTCCATATTTTTTATTATGTTAAGATTTCTTTTAAAAATATGTAACAAAATTGAACACTTCTCTTATGCCATGCTTGGTAAGAAGGAAAGCAGTGGGGTGAATTAAATTGTTAATTTTTTCTATTCTTATTCATCCAACCCAACAAAAAAGAGAGACTTATAATCAGAGTCATTCTTTCTTCTCTCCTTTCTATTCAAATTTAGGGTGTCTGTATAGGATTCTTGCTGGATAGGCAGATAAGACCCGATTTAATATTACAGTTGGGACATGTCGGCAGGGTACGGTTTGCGGGAATGGAATTTGCTGTATTGATCAATTTTTTTTTTTATTTTTTTTCATAATTTATTGATTAATTAGAAAAACAATATAAAATTTAAGGAAAAAAAAAAAATATCTATCTCTAAATTCCAAATTAATGATATGGATAAAATGGCAAAAAAATATAAGTATTATATATAAGTATGATATATAATAATATATATATGTATATATTATATTATTAACCTTGACGTATTCAAACTGTACTTGTATCTTATTAATTTTTTTTAAAATTTTTTTGAACTTGTCCGTTTTGTGTTACAAACATCTTTTATTATATATATATATATATATATATATTTATTTATTTATTTGATCTGAATGATATATTTTGTTGTTATTTCATCTAATATTATCGTAATCAGATATGAACTTGTCACTAATTTTTGATGTAATCGTACCTTTATAAAAGAATTTACTAATTTGTTCACTTGACATGATGTCTAGCCAGTAGACCACTTGGCATATCCTGAATAAGATTTTTAAAATGAGTGTGACTTGTTTTCTTTAAGAAGGTCATCAAATTATGCCATGGAATTCTATCATATGCTTTCCTTGGTATATATGGCTATCATAATAGATCTATCTGCCATAAATATTAACTGATTATATATTATGGTTTCTTTAATCTTTCTTACAGTATCTTTTTCTATAGTTTCATTGCGTGGCTTATTATTTTAATTTTATAAATTGGCAGTGCTTCTTCTCCCAACTTCTATATGAAAAAAAATAAAAATTGTTGGTTGGTCAAGTAATCGTTAAAAAATTTAAGTTAGTGATCAATTATTTGAACTCTTTTTTTTGGACTTCACATGTCCAAAATATAGTCTACCAAACACTTACGTTTCTTTTGACATGATAGAAGAAGGGTGGAGGAAGATATGAATGAAATAATAAAATTTATTTCGTTTGGAGAGAGAATGTAAGGACAGCAGAGAAAAGATGATGGATTGAACAGAAAACACTAAAGGAAAAAAGATAAGAATATTATAAAAACATTTAGACTATAAAACTTTTCTTATAATTAGTTATATCTAAACAAACAAAATAAAAGATTATTTCATTTTGTTGTTTTTTACTCAACCAGACAAAAAGAGAGAACGGTATAATATCTTTTTTTAAAATGTCCTATTCATTGATTGTTCTGTTTCTTCAATTTTCATCATTCCTACTAAACAGAGCTTTAATGTAGTGGAAAATTTAAGAAAATATTGAAAGAGTGAAGGAATATTAATTATAATGAAGTAGTTACGTGTTGGAGCTTTGCTCATGTGAATGGTTAGTAGATGCGTGACACTTTTTTTATAACAGCGAGGGTATTATATAAGTACATGGATTGAAATGTGATTGGTTTTTTTGAGACCTAAATTCTTGAACGGATAAGATATATATTGAATTGAATCCGATCTAAAATTAACTGGTTGGAGTATGAAAACGTTGGTGACAGTAAATTTATTTCAAGTTCTTAAGAAAAGTCAAAAAAGAAGGTCCTTTATTTCCTCCACCGATTCATCTTTTGTCCTAAATAGATACCCTACTTAGCTGGTTTATACCCTTCTTTCCTCTTTCCTTCTTACTTACCCCCATTAAAGGAATCCAAACAGTAGCAAAAAGGAGATAAAAGGAGACACTAAAGCAAAAATAAAGTAAGCACTGTTATTCACAAAAGAAACTTTTCTTTACCACATCTAATCACATCTACATCTTTTATTAATACATAAATACTCTCTACTCTTTATATTTATGTTCCTTTTGTTCACTATCACATTCTCCTCCCCATCTCATCTGAATATTATCACACACACACACACACACACACACACACACACACAATATATAGTACTCCAAAACCCATTAAAATTTCTTTCTCCTTCTTGAGAGGCTTCTTCAAGATCTTAATTGATCTGTATATTCTCAAAAATGGGAAGAGTGATTGGTGTTGGTGTGTGTCTTTTGATCGTGGCCATGGACATAGCAGCAGGGATTATGGGCATCAAAGCTGAAGCTGCTCAAAACCAGGTGTTTGTTTGTGTGTGTGTGTGTGTGTGTTTAATTGATCTCCTACTTAAATGGAGAAACTTCACATGAACACATGGTTTTAATTTCTTTTGTAACATTTTTTTTTTTTTTTGGTTTAATGGACAGGAAAAGCACTTAAGGCTATGGTTGTTTGAATGTAAAGAGCCAAGCCACAAAGCCTTCATGCTAGGGTTAGTTGCAGCCGCTCTTCTTGGTCTGGCACACATTCTTGCCAATTTGCTTGGTGGCTGCAACATTTGTACTCAAGATGACCTTCAAAAAGCATCCCCAAACAGGCAACTATCAGTGGCATGCCTCATTTTTACATGGTATGAACAGTCTCTCTCTCTCTTAAACTGAGTCAATTCGGAAATGAACTTGACTCGATAATTATATATAATTTAAAAAAATATATATAGGACAATGCTTTTTAGATTTAATAATCTATTTTAATTAAAGTTCGACCTTCTTTAATTTTCACTATAGGATTTTTGTAACGGGTAGATCCTTATCCATTTATTCAAAAACTCAAACTGTTAGATAGTATTGTATACATATTTATTTATCCCCAATTATTTTTTTATTCTAATCTGATGTGAAATAAATGACCCTTGTTATAATTTCTTCCACCCGAATTTACGCAACGCTCTCGTTACAGTTGTATCACCCTGCCAATTCGGAGTGAAGATTCGGTCACCTTCTGGGCCGGACGCTTGGCGTGACACCGAATCATGGGCTAAATTTGATTATAATACCAACTATAACGAATATGCATTTACCTATTTATTCAAAAATTTAAATATTAAATAATATTATATATCTATTTATTTATATTCAATCATTTTTTTATTTGAATCTTCAGCTATGAATGACCCTTATTACAATTCTCCATTACACTACCATCTGCGGATCGTCATCCTTTACACTAATATCTTCGATATCCTAAATATCTGATAGAATTCTACATATGTCTATTGACATGAGTTGTGATTGATCAGGATTATATTGGCCGGTGGATTGGGCATGCTGGTGATTGGAACCCTTTCAAACAACAAGTCAAGGACATCATGTGGTTTCACACACCATCATTTTCTGTCAATTGGAGGGATATTGTGCTTTGTCCATGCCCTGTTTTCTGTTGCTTATTACGTTTGTGCCACTGCCTCTCAGTGAAGCTGCGCGGCAAAGCATGAAAGTCGTCGTCATCTTTAATTTGCTTTACTCACCGCCCATCACTTTCAAGCACGATGACTTTTGTTGCATACTTTGTATCCAATAGTCAAATGACTGAATCACCCTAGACAATGTGTGGCCTCGTGTAGGAGATATTGCAAATATTTCTTCTTAAAGTTCGGTAATTATATTAGTGCTAATCATACACGTTTTTGCATCATTTATGATTGATTCATTTGTCTGTAATGGGTGGTGACAATTAGTGAGGCAAATAATATTTTTTGTCACGCAAATTGATGTACCGACATCCTCACATTAATTAAGTAACACGCATTCCAAACCGTCAGTGCTATGTTTAATGACAAGTTTATTATATATTTTGTGGGAGACTTATACTATTCGTTTGAATACACCGAAAAGAAAAGAAAAGAAAAGAAAGAATTAGGGGAGAGAAAAAAAAAAAAATAATTATAATTTATATTCATATTTAGATAAATAGAAAAGAAAATATAATATTCTTATTTGGATAAAACACACGAGAGAAAAAAAAAAACAAAACAGAGAGAAATAAAAAAAGAATAATAATCAAGTTACTGTATTATCCTTTTGTATCTAATTTAAATAAAATAGCTTATTTTCAAAACTTGAATTACTTGTAATTTGGAAAGCTTGAATTACTCTTTTGAATTACTTGTATTATATAAAATCCATATAATTTATTGGCCTTTCATTCCGAAAGTGTTCATTTCAACTTCAAACTGAACGAATTTTGTGTGTTCAAATATTAACAACTCAGTCTGTAAATGACGGTGAGCTTCATCTTGCAATTTCTCCATATAATGTAGGGTTTGTTTTTATAATTCATTATTAATTTTGTTGTATGGTCGGCTATAAATGTTTACATTCGCATTCATCTTAGGAGTCTTTATCCTCAAAAACACATTCTTATGTAAGACATGCTGAACCTGTGCTTTTGAAAATTGTGGTAATATTTATATTCCACTTGGTTATTACCATTTTAGTTAACATTCGGAATTTGATATATAGGCCAACAGCCTACTACTAAAAGCTTTTGCATAATCATTTGGGTGAAAGATTTTATATGCTGAATTTGAGAGGGTAGCACATGCTAGGAAAATCTGTTGTTAGTTTTGGCACTTAATAAACCTCTTTTGTAGTGAGAGGTAATTAACAAGATTATAGTTTCCATTGCTAAATATGCTTTGGAACTTTCAGAAACCATATGTAATCTTATAGAAATCAGAGGCAATTTGCACCCAGATTATGACAAATATAGAATACTTACTATGGAATGATTAAAAGTCAATAATATCTATTTAAATTCAAAGAATATACTCAACACAACCAAAGCAATTAGTAACATTAGAGATTTCTTGAGGTCTATACGCCAATAGTTTGGGTAATAGATGTCATCTACTAACAGTTTAGTAGTAGATGGAAACAATTTTGAACTCTCTCTTACAAAAGCAGCAAATTTTATTTTTCTTCTTGCTTTTTTTGTTTGTTTTGCTTTTGCTTATGTTTATGTTTTTCTGCAGAGACACACAGTGAGAGAGAGAGAGATCAACAAACCAAGTGGTGGTAAGAATGAGTCATGGTTAAAACCTTGATTTCTGGTAAGCCAAAGAAGCGACCGACGCGAGAGAAGAGAAATCGGAGAAGCGAACAACGCGAGAGGAGGAGTATAGAAGCGACGAATCTGATTTGCCCTAATATTGTTGACCTAGGACTTGAATGTAATATAAATTTTGTGTATAGAATTTTGAAGGCTAATTTTGTCTTTAATGAAAAATTTACTTAAGTTGTTTCCTTTCGCTTCAAATCTTGTCAAAATGGGAGGGATTTAGTTGGAGGGATTTGGAGGGATAGGCTATCCCTCCAAATCCTTTCTTTTTTGTTCTATTCTCTTCATCCAAACACACTTACCCTATCCTTACCCTTTTTTTTTTTTTTCAAATCCCTCAATCCAAACGAAGCCATAGTGAAAAGTTTACTAAGGCCTTCAAGACGAACCAACAAATTGTATCATTTGTAATATGATTTATTATTGTTTGTGAGGGAATTTTTTTTTTTTTTTTCTTTTATTATTGATAAGAAATTCACACAATTATTTTGTTTCCTAATAAATTTGAACTCTCACTGTCTACTTTTTATATACAACTAGAACACAAAATCATTAGTTACAGTATTTGTGAGAATTCTAATCTAAACATCTAGAATAATAACATTGAAGCCTATACTTCGCATATGTTAGTCATAATAAATCACAAATGTCTAATATTAGTTAGTATGAAAAATTATTTTGATATTATCAGATGAGATGTCTAGGTTAGATTATATAGGTTGATTTGATGATTAGGTTAGATGAGATTATTACGTTTGTGCCACTAAGTGAAGCTCCTGCTAAGCATGAAAATCATCATCTTTAATTTGCTTTCCTCACCCCAAACACTTTCAAGCACGATGACTTTAGTTGCAAACTTTTTGTAACCACTGGTCAAATGTCTGAATCACCCTCGACAATGTATGGCCTTGTGCAGGAGATATTACAAATATTTCTTCTTAAGTTCAGTAATTATATTAGTGCTAATCATACGCCTTTTTGCATCATTTGTGATTGATCCATTTGACTGTAATGGGTGGTGACAATTAGTGAGGCAAACAATATTTTTTGTCACGCAAATTGATGTACCGACATCCCCACATTGGTAACACGCATTCCAAACCGTATGTGCTATGTTTAATGACAAGTTTATTATATATTTTGTGTGAGACTTATAGTGAAAAGATTATTGTGGCCCGTTTGGAAAGTGTTGTATTTTAGTCTAAAATAAAACAAGTATTTTGTAATATAGTATTCTGAAATGAAAACAAAACATGCTTGGTGATGAAGATTTGTGATGAGAATTTTGGAACAGAAACATGGTAGAATATGTTTGACAAGGTATTTCGTTTAAAGAAATATAAAAACAAAATATGTTTGGCAGAGTGAAAGTGTAACCAAAATCAATGAAACAAAAATATGAAATATATATGTTTGGTAAAGAGTGTTTTTAAATAATGTTTTCGTCAATACATTATTTATAACTTTATTAAATATAAAGTAAAATTTAATTATTGTATAATTTTAGTATACAATTGATATAACTTTTAATATATATATTGTTAAAAGTTTATCTTAGTTTATTATAAAAACCAATAAAATATATTCTAAATTATAAAACCTATGAATGCTGCATATTGTTTTGACAGTTGTCGAACACATTGTTTCAATATTGAACTGAAATAAACTTTCAACATATTACACATTACATAAGTTTGAAGGTATTACAGACATGAGTTTTATAAATATTACATTATTTGTCAACAGGTATAAAAAAAGTTCATGAAGTAAAATTGAAATAATATATTACATCATTTATCAACAGTCATAATAACCAACAACAACAACATGGGTAATAACATAAATAATATAGTTATAGTATGACAACAACAATAATCATAGATAACGTAGTTTTGCCGATTTTGTTGAGCTTGCATAATAATAACTACATCTTCCAACAATTGCTCCACATGACTACCCACTTGCAGACGTTGGTGGATGTCATCCAACCATATAAATGCACGAGCATGTGACTAAAATATCAAAGACTTGTATATTATTATAATGTCCCTGTGACAATAAGATGTACATATAAAAAATTATTAATGCAAAGAAAATTATATACCCCCAAGCTGGACATCTATAGAATGAATGTCCATAATTCTTTGAAGTTTCAGCCGTATAAAGATTCATTCGACCCCTTCCACATGCACAAGGTGGCCCGTCACCCTATATCTCATACATGATTGCATATACAAGTTATTACATTTATCCAAATCATAAAAAAAGTGCAAAATATAGTTACCACAACTTATTATATTTATCGAAATCGTAAAAAAGAGTTAAAATAAAGTAGTTAGTATAGTTATCCAAATCCTAACAAATAGTTAAAATAAAGTAGTTATTACAGTTATACAAATAGTAACAAATAATTATAATAAAGTAGTTATTACAGTTTGGACTAAATGCAATTTCAAGGGTGCTGAATTGTATTCCATATATTATTAGCAATATGATCACGTAAAATATCCATTGGTCATGAGCGAGACTGCGACACATTAGCCTGAACATCATCATTATCATTTTATATTTCATCTATCATCGCCTCCATAGTTGCATCATCAAATATTGCATCTACATGCGTCTCCTTTCTTATAAAGTTGTGAAGTGTGCAACAGGTTAAAACAATAGCAACCTGAGGTTCAAACTTATATGGGGCATTTGCTTCAAGATGGGGAATCTCATCTTAAGCATCCCAAAACAACGTTCAATGATATTTCGCAAAACGAGTGCCTGTGATTGTATATTTCCTCTTTACCTTGGGGTCGCCAAGAAGCTCTACAATACTCTTAGAAGTGGTACTGTTGACTCCTGAAGGGAGCCAAGAAACTCGGTTGATTAGCATACTCGGAGTCCACCAAATAATATTTTCCTACCTTTTTAAAAACTTTAAACAATTGTACCATGCTATTTAGTGTGAGACTCATAGTGAAAAACTTACTAAGGCCTTCAAGACCAACCAAAAAATTGTATCATTTGTAATATGATTGATTATTATTTGTGAGGAAAATTTTTATTTTTATTTTGTTATTGATAAGAAATTTACACACTTTTTTTTTCTTTTAAGAAATTTGAACTCTCATTATCCACTTTAAGAAGTAGAAAAAAATCACTAAAACACAAAACCATTAGTTACAGTATTTGTGAGAATTCGAATTTAAAATATCTAAAATAATAACATCGAAGCTTATATTTCGCATATGTTAGCCATAATTAATCACAAATGTCTAATATTAGTTAGTATGAATATTGTGTGATAAATTATTTTGATATTATCAGATGAGATATATAGGTTAGATTAGATAGGTTGATTTGATGATTTCCGAAAAAAAGACATTGAAGGCTTGAAAGTGCCCAACCCATCCCTAAAATGGGTGGTGAAAGATGATCAATGGCTTAATAATTTTTGACTAGTGTTATAATTGGAGTCTTGTTCTACATTAAATTTGAATAGGGTGGCAATTAGTTATACCCGAATTGAGTATTCGTACTTTTTAATAACTTAAACTTTTAGATTCGACGGCAAAATACATGAT